GTCACGCTGCCCCGCCTACATCCTGACAGCCAATGTTTGCCACGCTCCGTGGGCCGGATTAAAAGGCCTGCCGGGCTGTAGTTTGCCCATTGCTGGGCTAGCTGCAGAGTCCTGACTTTTGGGGCGGCCGTCCGAGAGGAGGGAGGGGAGCGGGCGCCCGGCACACAGAAGAGCCGCATTAAAGTGTGCAAAGAGCCGCATGTGGCTCGCGAGCCACGGCTTGCCGACCACTGCCCTAGACAGATTATTGAGCTGGAAATTGACTGTGACAGTGTGTCTGGCTGCTAGTACACATACCGAGAAAGAACCCTGGGACCAAATCAGAGGGGCCATTTAGGGGGTGAGCACTACACTTGCTCCCTGACTTGTGTTCTGCATGTGATTCCTTTTATCGATCCGGCTTTCTCCTGACCTTATTTGGATCTTGCTCTGTATTTCTGTTCTATCCATTCCCAACATCGGCATGATCCTGATCTGGATCCAGCTCCTGATTTAGTAGTTTGTTGCCCGTTGACCTCGGCTTGATGTTGACTATGCTTTTGTCTCTGTTTCTACTCTACACCATTGTTTAGTCCCTACTTACCTTCCATGCTCATACAGCTGCATGCTTCTTTACATAGTCCCGTTACGGTACATTCCTGCTGACATCATCCGTGAGCTCTGCATCATGAACTTTCGCACCAACCAGAGTTCCCCTTTAACTTCTGTTGATTTTTCCTGCTAACTCCTTGCCTGATGCATCTGCTCGCAGGTCCTACTGGATCTTCCAGGTTGACATCTTCAGTTTCAGGTTCTGCAATTTACATCCTCCAGCACTTGTGTTCCTCCTGTTCTTTTGCACCCTCTGCTCCACCTTCAGGGAGATACAGGAAAGGCCACGCTCATCATCTTGGTTTTCTTATCAGGTACGTGATGGACAGATGGATGGATGAATGAAGAAATTGGGCTTTAGAGCTTATAGATTCTTTAGCCTGAGCCCAAACATAAACACTTTGGGACATTAAAGGTAATGGGTTGCAGGCCAGTCCAAATTACCCCAGAAGCATGTGGACCAGATTTTTAGGCAGATATGTCAGATGATTGTGTAGAGCATTTGGACCATGGAAGCAGCTGCAATATTTGGGCAGATATATCCCAGTAGAACCCAACCTCCCTCCTCTTTCACATCATTCAAACTGGAATCCAAGAGATTTGACCATATGAGAGGAATTCGTCCAATAGAAAGACCAGAAGGAACTAGTAGGATAAACCTCATAGTCAATCAATGCCATATTGCTTCATTTTATCTGCCTTTAGTCAAACATTTGGAACTTTTCTAATTGCTTTTGGTTACTGTAGCTAGCTACTTTTATTTTACTAGGGGTGGTGCCATCATGTGTGTGAATTGGGGTAGGGTTTGTGGGCAGGGCCATGGATAGGAGGGTACCACCAGTCCTCCTGTAGTGGGGCCCAGGCAGCTGGGAAAATCGGATGTGAGCAGGGAGGGGAGATCAGCATGGTGGGAGGGGCATTTACTGGAACCGATCCCCTGTATGGCTCTCTCTGCAGCAGCTGAAAGTTGGCTTCTTCTCCTCTCCCTCCCGCTGGCTTTCAGCTGCTGCAGAGAAGAGCCATGCAGGGGATTGGTTCCAGTAATTGTCCCCCCCACCCTCAATGTGCACCATGCTTTACCCCTGCTGCTCATGCAACCCTGGGTGCCCCCACCCCCGCAATGCTGCCAGCTTCCCTCTACTTCTTCGCACTGGCAGCTGCAAGCACAGGATCCTTCACGATGGAGAGTGGGGGAAGGGTCCAGTAAATATGTCACATTTACCAGCCCCATTTCTTTCCTGAATGAACACAAATTGTGATCGGTACCAATCACTCACTGTGTTCATTCACTGTGGGTTTTTTTTGGGTGGGAGGGGGAGGCTGTCAGGTTGGCTGTATGGGGCCCCGTGGTTTCTAACAACAGCCCTATTTGTGGGCATGTAGTTTTGCACATGTAGTTGTTGTCTTGATAAAGATGGGCTGATACCCATCGGCACACTGGACATGATAAAAACCCATTTTTGGTTATATTCTTCTGCTGCAAGACCTGTAAGTGCATCAACCTTACCTGTAAATATCGTATTACACACTTTGCAACCTCTAACTCACAGGTGTCAAACACAAGGCCTGCAGGCCGAATCTGGCCCTCCAGGCCATTTCATGTGGCCCTTGCACCTCTCCTGCAGGTATCCCCTTGTCTCCGCCCCCACCTTGTCTCAGCAGTTGGCAGCAGACAGAAGAATAGAACTCCTCTGCCAAATCCTGCACCTCTCAGTGTAGCTGCCGCACCCTCTCATCTCTGCCTCCCCTGGTTTCATCAACATTCAGCAGATTCTGGTAAACGACTCCACTCCTCCTCTGGTCCTCCTCCAGACCCTGCACTTTCTGCTTTCCAGCTCTGCCCCCAAAGGAGGTGCACGGTAATGTTAGGGAAGGTGTGGGATTCTTGACATCTGATATAATGGGGGGGGGTACTTTGGACATCTAGTCTTACAGATACAACCGGCCCTTTCAGAGCAACTATAATGCTGATACGGCCCGCCATGAAATGGAGTTTGACACTCCTGCTGTAACTCATGGGATTCCAATATTCCACATTACGAGGCATGGTATTCACTATATATGAATCGTGTTTTATTACAAAACAATCTGCTGACAGCCCTCCGTATTGTGTGCATATGTTGTATTCTTTCAGTGATTGACCACATCTGTCTGTAATTTCACTATAGTAAAATGTTATGTCTTTACCAATTTTTCAATACAAAAATGCTTATTGTGTTTTGGAAACTACAAGAGAATTTCACACAAAGCCACAAATAACAAGAAGCAAAAGTTTCTGCAGGCAAAGAGCTGAACCAATACTGAAAAGCCATCCCAATGGGGATGGAGTGATGACACATGTGCTTTGAATAATCAGGGGTGTATTTGGTGTAAGGCCCCATGTACACAGGACACTTCTGAACGATGGAAACTGACTGCTGGAAAACGTAGGTGAAAAAATGTCTGTTTAGCCATGTTTGCATACTGCGTTTATGTGTGTTTGCGTTTAGAAGCATTTTTTAAAGATAAGCACAGGAGAACCTCCCAAATGCCCAGAATGCACTGAAAAGTGGTAAATTATTAACTATTTCAGACTGTTTCAGAGAAATACAGAGAGTAGAAGCAGAGACAGCAGTATGTGTTGAGATTAGCTTAGGTGTGAGTTGCTCATTAACTTTTTTTTTGTTTCCAAGGGTGGGAAAGGTGTCTGGTGGAGGGAGTCACCTGGCAGGGGGTCTTCAGGAGGAATTTGAGGTGTGAATTGGTCATTAACATATCTTTTGTATCCAAGGGTGGGAGAGGTCTGAGGTGTGAATGGTCATTAACATATCTTTTGTTTACAAGGGTGGGAGAGGTCTGAGGTGTGAATTGGTCATTACAAAGTGTGACAAGCTTGGTGGGAACATCCTGTGTTCAGTGTTTTTTCCATTTGAGTACCTTGAAAACGCTTTGCATGTATTTTTCATGATGAAAAAAGGCTCTGGACAGCATCGGGAACTGGAAAAGTTAAAAAAAATTTCAAACGCAAACGCTTATAAACACAATTTTCCGTGTTTGGCCATGTTTACAAGCATTTTGCATTTGAAACGCTGATAAAATCGACTGGTGAACGCAAGTTTTCTGCGTTCAAAAAAACAACTGTAAACTCAAATGCCTGTAAACAACTGTAAACGAAGATGCGTACATGAACACATAGCAAAACATTAGGGTGAGTTCAGTGGCTGCTGAAAAAAATGCTGAACAGATCCTAAACGTGAGTTTATTAGCTGCAGTGTACATGAGTCCGAAGACAAACAAGGCGTTTGCTTTGGGCATAATTTTTTCAGGGGGGGGGGGGGGGAAGGGCACTGCTGCCCCCTGGAAGAAGAGAAGCGGCGTGATGGGAGCCGTGGGAGCGCCCATGAGACTTTGGGAAGGGAGCTGCTGTGATGGTGAGTCTCTGTGATGGGGTTTGTGGTGGTGTGCGGAGGGTTTGCGGGGGTCATGGTGTGCAGGGGGGTCGCAGGTGGGGGGGCTGGTGGATGGGGGGGGGGCCGGAGGGGTGGCAGATTCTTTGTGTTGCATAGGACAGCACAAATTCCAAATACACTCCTGTGCATAATGCAATGCAAAAATGTATTCAATGGAGCTGGACCTGGACCTGGTGCTTGGGACCAGCATCTATGGAACTGAACTTGGTAGGAGAGGCTAAAGCTATCTATAAACTACTAGATTTTTGAATGGATATTTTATGATTTGATGAATATCTTTTGAAAGTACTTCGAAACCTCATTTGCTTTTAACATTCGATATTGGAACCAATAGACTTTCCTGAACAAAAACCAGACACACCATCACTTTCACCCACAGTAACAAGAAAATTTGAACGAGCAGGATGGTATTTGTTCCTTAACCTCCCCAGCAGTCTGATTATGTCAGTATTTCTGTGCTCAAAGCGCTACATTTTTTTTGCATGGAAATACTGTATGTATTTTTTTTTTATTGTAGGCCTGTAATTTTTAAGAACAACTCACTGAAATCTGTCCAAACAAGAGTCTAGTAAACATCCCGGGTATGTCAAAATTTGAAACACGAAATCATAAATTATAAATTAATAATTAATCATAAAAAATAATAATATAATAATAATAAATTTAATTCAATATTATAATCAAACCAAAAACACTGAAATTTGAAATAGAGCGCCAAGTTCGCACATCACTGAGCACAGTCGCAAAATCGTTTTCAGTGTCTGATGACGAATTTCCCCCACGAATCATTATCACTCAATTCTGCAAGTGGTTCTGATTTCTATCGCTGTTCTCTAGCCGATCTAAAACTGCTTTTGACCCAAAGGGACGCTTTTTGGACACCATGGACGTTTCTCAGTTTCCAGGCAGAAAGAACAGTAAAAATGCAGGCAGGGCGCCGGACAAAGCACTCGGGACAAAATGTATGTGAAATGGTTTGATACAGGAATGTTTTACTATGTGATTTTAGTGTATTTAGTGAATGTCACTTTTTGTCATTTTTAAATTTCCCGCCGTTCCGTCCCCCCGTACGTTCCGACGTCGCAAGGAACGGAACACGGAAGACGGATGCCGGCATCCGCTGGAGGAGATGGGCGAGGACACTGCAGGGGGACATCGCGGGAGCGCAGGACAAGGTAAGAGAAGAAGAGATCCCGGAGCAACGCTGCAGTGTATTCCCGAGTGTAGCTCAGCGTTACCACTTGTGGTGCTGAAACTTTACTCCGAGGTACACTCGGGAATACCGCCAGGGAGGTTAAAAATCTTGCTTGTTTCTTGTTCCATGAGATCCTTTAACTCCTCTCTTTTTAATATTATCTCCTGTTGTAACTCTATTTTCTTTTTATGCAACTGATATAGTTCTTCTCTTAGTACCCTGATTTTTTTCCCCCCGTTCTTTTTCTTTGTCCCTATCGCAATCAGTATACCCCTAGTATAGGACTGATGTGCTTCCCATACAGTGGCAACTGAAACCGCCCCGGATTAGTTTAACTTAAAAAATTGTACTATTTCCTGCTTTACTCCTATTTCCGTGTCTTGTAAATTGGTCTCATTTAATCTCCACAAGTTTATTGTATTCTGTTCCCTTCCAAACTGTAGTCTCATTGTGACAGGAGCATGGTCCGATATAGTTATTATATCCATGTTAGTTTTCACCAGAGACTCTATGTTCAATCAACATATAATCCAATCTTGAGTATATCCTGTGTGCTGCAGAGAAAAAGATATAGTCTCTTTCTCTTGGGTTCTCAACCCTCCAAGCGTCCATCAGCTGACATGATGCAACTTTTTTTAACATTCTTTAGACTCCTATCTCCCCCTCTCCGGGCGCACAAAGAGGCATCCATCTCTGGGTCCATGCAAAAATTTATGTCACCTGCCAAAATCATGCTACCCCCTTTTGAAGTCTATAAGTTTTCCCAATATTCCTTTCAAATATGCCATCGAGTTTTTATTAGGGTAATAAATATTTGCTAATGTACTCTCTCTTCCCTGCAAGTTTCCTCTGAAAAATAAATAACGGCCTGCTGGATCTGACAGCCTTTCATCCAAAGTAAAGTTTATATTTTTTCCAAATCCTATCACCACTCCCGTGTTATTGGTGAATCCGCATAATACCAGGTTGGCAGATATTTAGAATATAAGTTAACAGTTGAATCCTGGGATATATGTGCCTCTTGAAGAAACACCACTTCAAAAAAGAGACATAAAGTTCTAAGGGAAATACACCAACAATCTATTGGAGTGTTCAATTCTTTTGCATTATATGGCATGAAGTTAACCATGTTCCTTCCTCCCATTTTGTCTGTTCTCCACTATGTATTCTTTGCAGGGAAAAGAATACCTTTCCCATTTACCCTTCTTTCCCCCCCCCCCCCCCCCTCCCTTTTACCCACCTCCTCCTCTTGAAAACCCCCAAGACCTATTTTTGGTCCTTGAATCAGTTGTGGCCTACTGTCACAATTGATTCCTTTTTCTGGGTAAGACTCTGAGCACGCACTCCCATTCAGGCCCCGATCTCTCATGTTTGGTTCTGAAATTCAGCAGCTTGTTTGGCCTCCCTACTCCCCACCATGGTACTCGATCTTCCTCACTCACCTACCTATTCTTTTCTCTTCCTTTTTTCTTTCTCCTTCTCTTCCCCCTCTCTCTCCATTGTCTAGCCTGTCTAATAAATATTTCTCCCCAAACCTAAGAGCCCCATTTAGCCTGTCCTTGGAGGAGGAGAATTTTATCCTGGAAGTATTACAAGATGAATAGGAGGAGTAGGGCAGCAGAGGAGGAGAGGGAGAAAAAAGAGGGGGTAAGGGGTTTGGATAATGCCATACTTAGGTCCAACCACCTCTCGTCCCTCTCTCACCTCCTCTCCACAGCCGTTGCCCCCCACCCATCTATCTCTTTTTAGAAACTCTGCCATTTCTCCTCTTCCAGTCTTACATTATGTTTTCCCCCTGTAGACCACCCAGCAATATCTAAAGTCAGTAATTCTGATTTTTCACAAAAGTCACTTAAGTCTTCTGGGAATCTTAATTTAAAAGTCCTTTACCCGATCAAGCATGCAGGGAATCCCCAAGTATAACGGACATTTTTTGCATTTTATCTGATCTAGCAGTGGTTTCAAAGATCCTTCTTCTAGGTGTGTCTCCTGTGCAATGTCTGCAAAAACAACTTATTTCTCCATATTTTATATCTGTTATCCCAATCCCATCCCTTGGGGTATCTGGTGTAACTCTTTGGGATCTCCTTATCCTGTGCACTCTATGTTCAATTGCTCAATCTCTGCTCTTCCAATTATTGGATTAAACAATCTTCTCATAATGTCCCATAGATCTTCTCCTTGAGACATTTCTGGCAAGCCTCTGATCCTTAAATTGTTCCTTCTATCTCGTACATCTAACTTTATAAGATGTATCTCCTCTCCTGGTTCCTCCAGTGCTTCTAATTTATATTCTCTGAAATCTCCAATTTTTTCTTTTTCCTCCTGCAGGACTCCCATTTTGCGGTGTAAAATCACCATTTCACTTTTTATGGAGTTTTCTTTTGCAAATATATCTGCAATTTCCGATTTTTGGTGGGCATTTTTAGCCCTCTTGCTCCTCCATATTTCTTTTCCCCCTATCACTCTCTGGCTTTGAGATTTCTTTCCGCTGGTTTCTATCCAATACCTCAAAAGATAGTCTCGCTTGATTTTCCTTGCAATTTACTTCTCCGTGGCTTTTTAGATTTGTTCCTCTGGGATTTTCTCATGCAAAGGCATGTACTTTTTTTTATTGTATTGTGTTTAGATTCGGTTGAAAAGTTTTTGCTCCTCCTCCTTTGACAGATCTATTCTTTATATTCCTCAGGATGTACAGTAACTTATAGTACTAGGTAGAGATTTGATTCCAGTATCCCTGGGTCCTTACCCGTATACCTTATAATGTTTCCCCTCTGGTCTTTATGGGGTTACTATTCTCTGAAATCCTTTTTTTTCTTTTCCTTCTGCACCTTACCCTTTCTGGGTGCCCCCTCCTTTCTTATTATGAGCTTACTTAGATAAAGTCCCATTACACTGTCCTATCCACCTCTGAGACTCCTGATATTATATACACGTATCCTCCCAGCCTCGGCAATAGCATACAGGGATTCAACTTTGGGGATTTACTGCGTCCTGCGGCACTCACCCACTCCTTTGTGCTGTATCCACTAGCTGACTGTCAGCTGTTTACTGTTGTCCTCCGGGGTCTCACAAGATCTCGTTTGGTGGTTGGGGGCTCCCAGGCTTGGTGGTCACTTCCTCGAGTCTCCTCTCCTTGTCTCGTGGCCGACTCTGTGTAAAGTCCTCTTGTGATGCCGTTATCACCACTCACCACGCTGCAGCCCCATGAGTAGGATGTTAAACTGCAGAGGAGGGTAAGTGGGGGGATTGTAAGGAAGGGAGAGGAAAGGAGAACTCGAAGCTCCATCCTCCCATCTCCGGCTCTTGACTCCCTGATTCCCAGGCTCCCTTGCCTGGTCACCTCATTGATCACGTGTGTCCGCCCAGTCCTCCGCTTCTCCGCCGGGTCCTTCTCCACCTCGCGATGGGCAGCGGCCTCCCAATATCCCATTGCTACACGGATCTCGGCCCCGCCAAACCCACCAACCGTACCGTGCTCCCCAAACCAAGATCTCTCCGAGGCAGGACAAGTAGATGAGGTGGTCAGGTGAGTACCATGCTCGGCAGGCATGGGAGCTCCTAGCTCAAGCAGCCGTAAAGCACCATGCTCACGTCCCTCCCTATCCCAAAGGTGTTCTAGCTCTCAGAAAGGACTTTCTTAAAGGAAGTGGGCTTCCAGTGAATACAGTAGTGCGATAAAAGTAGGAAAAGTGTTCAGCGGGAAGTAAAATTAATTTGGTTTGGGAATGGAAGCTGAGCTGGGCTGGGCTGGGCCTGGACTGCAGTGTCAGATTGCTTTAGCATTAACACAAGGTGGCTACAATGAGACAGAGTGGTGTCTGATGCCAAAATCAAGTGTTTTGAGGTAGGAGACCCCCAGAGTTGATGATGAGACCAGTGGATAAAGGCTGGTTGATTTCTGCAGAAACTGGGGCAAGATTTATATACCCCACTCAAAGAACCCATTGAGTGCTGCAGAAGGATACTGGCCGACTGACCACCCTGAAGTTACTGGTCTCAAGAGATGGAAGTATGAACAATAATAGAAGAATATTTGTCAGTGGAAGATGTGTGCATGAATAGCGATAGAAGAATGTGTCATCAGAAGATGTGTGCAATGTTCCACCCTTTGCTTCACAGAAGGCCCTCTGGGCTTGACCTTGACAGGTCTTCCACCATTCCAGAGAAGGCCGCACAGGCCTGCTTATTTTTCTGGCTGCTGTAAAAAACATTCAGAAAGCCACAATTCCTCTAAAATAAAATCAATAAAACTCCAGGCTCTTGCCCTAGCCAATGTATGGGCTGAATCTACAGCTGGACAAATTTTTTGCACACAGGCTGAAGAGTGGCAAGGTGCGAACACTGGAAGCTAAAGAGAACGTAAGTGTTTGGCTAAAATTTACCAGGGCATGAATGATCTCCAAGCCTTTTTTAGGAATGTTCTTTTAGACAGATGAGATAATAGTAAACTTTTCTGGACAACATGAGTGCCAGTATGTCTATAAAGTTATTCCCATAGCACTATGGTTTACCAGAGAGTAGGTTTGCCTCCTCATCACTTTAAACCCGAACACAGAATTACCCAGGTTCTGGGGCTCATTGAATGCAGATAAGGCACTAAGTTAGTTCAATTACCACGATAATCAGCTACACAAACCTGTGTAATTGATATGTGTTCGGTTTTATAGGGATGAGGTGGCAACCCTGCCAGAGAGACGTAATAGCAGTAGCGGTCTTCCTCCTGGGTGACTTTGTCTTAGTAAAACATTGCACTTTGCTATTTCCAGCCTTCCTTCACCTCCCTGATTCCTTGTATTTTTCAGCCTGCCATTTGTTACCATCACCTGTGCAGTCCTAGTCTGCAGAGTGCTTCACTAATTTTCTGGGCACTCCTAGTCCTCTTCCTGATTTTCCTCCCTATGCACTTCAGCCTGCTTCCACAGATGCTGTGGGACTCTATGAACTTGTGAGCAGGGTGCAGCATGGTGTGTCAGCAGCAGAAACCACAGAGAGGCTGAGTAGCTTTAACTATGTATTTTAGAAAGCTCCAACAAGGTACAACTATGCTCGGTGGGTGTGCACAACCATCCAGAGGCACTTATGAAACCTGTAGCAGTGTT